TGTTCGAAAGCATATTCATTTATACTGTTATACACTGTTAATTTTATATTACTGTAATATACTGTTAATTTTCAAAAGTTTCTTCATTTCATCAAGTGAAAGTTTGGTTTTTCGACTCCCCATCACGAATTATATGAAGCATGAGTTGATCTTTCTGTAAACTGTTAAATTTTTGCATTTTTTTGGGAGTAATATCGAGCCTCGGGCTCTGTATACAACTAAGCAAATTTTAATTAAAAACCAATATTATATATAAAAGTTTTAACCACATTTTAATAATTAACTAAGGTTTTATTTGCCTTAAAGTTAATACAGTAAAAGTTTAGTATTTAATAAAAAATTAAATGGCATCAAAAACTGGTAAAAAAATCATAAGCAAAAGTAAAATTTTAAAAGAAAGCGTTCCATTTTCAAATATTATAATAATATACAGACATTCTGTATTTTAAAAATCAGCAAATGAACACATAAAAATTGAATATAATATATGAAAAAAGATTAATGATTAAAGGAGGATTTTATTGTATATGTAACGATTGTAGTGCGCGCTGTTTCTTTTTAAATAACAAAACTGAAAATAAATAAAAAAACACAATAAAAAATTTTTAGTGTTACGTAAACCCTATACTTCTCTTAACCTGTGAGTGAGCTTGTATGCAAAATATGTGAAGTGTTAGGGAATAAATGTCCCATAATATATTTTATTCTGTGGCTGTCTTTATGGTATATATACTACAGAATTATATATGCAACGTAAACAGAGAACTGTTGAAAAATCTTACTACAACCATGGATTTTATGTCTCCCCGTCGGAGAGATATTAGAGCTGTGATGGGGGCAATCACGGGACATTGTCTTATTGGCAAACATTTTAGGAGAATGGGTGGCCCTACGGATGGTCTCTGTTGGAGTTGCTTTGTAAAATGCCCTTTGCACATGGCTGGCTTTGACAAAGAACTGACGTAGATACCTTGGATGATTTTTCTTTTTACGGACTACGTGAATGTAAACTCCAGTGCATTAGCCCGTTTTTCAAAAGCTTGAGTTGGTTCTTGTGAGAACGGGGGATTTTGTGGATCCTATGTATACCTTACGATAGTCGCGTCAACCTAACCCAATAGAACCTATGATATATACAATAAATCGAAATTTTTATAAAAGCACATCAATACACGATTCAGTTTAAAATGAATTCCAATTGTTGAATGGTGTACATATAAATAAGATATTAAGGTAATGTTGAAATCACAGACACATGACTTTTCATTTCGTGTATTCAAATTGCTGAATTATATAGTATGACCTTATTTTTTCGATACCTTTGTTACTAATAATTTTATGATATTACAGCCTAATTTATAACATAAATTAGAACTTAGTTATGCCTAAAAGTTCTAATATATTTTATGATATTATGATATTACAGCCTAAAAGTTCTAATTGCTGAATTGTGTATAATGAAACAGTATTATCGCGATTCCGATGACAGCCTGTACATGTTTATATTATACAATAGTAAATGAAGGTTAAATACCCTAATTTTATTTTGTGATTTGCAACCCTCTTAATAAATTGTATTTTTTTGATGGGTATTTTCTACAAATTAACCAACATAATAAATAGTTATAAATGTTGTTAATATTTGTTCTTTTTTTTTTTGCTTTCGATTTGCAAGGATTTTTTTCGTTCTGTTTTTGTTTCCATTTAAATCGTCGGTTTTTAAATTAAATTTTCCCAAGGGACTTTTTAAAGAGCTTTTTACCCATAAAAAAAAAACATAAAAGCAGTACTAATACAAAGAATAAAAATAAAATGTTTAAATAGATTGCAAAAAACTATTTTAAAAATAAATGCATATAAATGTATGTATGGTATGTGTTTGAAAAAAATAATTTTCAAAAAATAACAATAAACGAAATAAATGTTAACGGTAAAAAAGATTTTTTAGGAGAAAAACAAAATAGTAAACATAGAAAAACAGTGATAAAATAATGATTGCAATGATAATGATCGAAAATATAGTAATAGAAAATATAAAATGGCGATTTTATCGGGCAAAAAATTTATAATATTACAAAATCTTCAATAAAGTCAATAAGTAAACAGTGAATTTTCCTCAACCATGCACGTCATCTGGTGTTTTTCGTAAAAAACTTCATCTACTTACTTGTTAAAATGAAAATTTAAAATGCGGGATTTGTATAAAAACGAGAAAAATAGCAAGCATACTCAAAAATAAAAGATAGAATATCAAAATGAAATGAGAAGAAAGCTATATTGCAGTATGTTTTAGTCCACTATTATATATATAGCATGTAAAATTTAGAATTCAGATTTTTTTTTGGTTTTTAGAATTTTAGTTTTAATATACGAAAAACATTTTCAAAATTACGATTTAACAGATTGCGACTCTGTATTATGTTGAACATACAATTCATACCTAAGCTGAATCGCAGGCTTGTAGATTACAGCAATATGAAATTTAAGGTATTTTCTGATTCATATACTCGTACATACTTGTTTTAACATAATTTCATAATTATTAAAATTTTTGAGATTCGGTCAAGAACGATGAAAGGATGATTTATATAGTAAATAGTTATAATACGAGTACTCGTTAATTACTATATTCGATTTCGGAAAATTTTTAAAGACATATTGTAGATCTTTTCAACTTAGATCAGAACTATGGTATTCCAATTTTTGAGAAAAACCTTTGTTTTTTTTATGCAGTTTTGAATTTTAGTATAATTTTTTTTTTGCCGAAATGAAATTGATTCTGGCAAGTTTTTTTTCTATTTGCTTTCAAATAGGAAATTTTTAATGGAAAACCAATTGTTATACATTGCAAGTTGTATTTCAACGGTTTTTATCAAATAAAACAGCCCTAATATCATAGCTTCTATAATTTTTCAATTTACCTTTGCCAAATAAATATTGAAGTTGTGTGGCAGCTACCTGAACCAGTACCTCGATCAAACCCAATTTAAAAAGGGTTCTGGTATTTTTTATAATAAATTATTTGTGAAACTTTGGTGAACAATCAGTTTTTTAGTTATCGTTGAAATGGACGGACGAACGGGTAAACGGAGAAACATGGTTAAATCGACTCAGAATTCGACGGTGATCAAAATATATATACTTGAATCTATATCTTAGAGCATTATTTCTTAGCGTTACAAGCCGTAAGGCAAATTTAGTATATTATTCGAACATACGTTCGTATACGTGTATAAATATTTCAAAACAGATATATCTATGTATATTTGATTTAAGTTCTCCATGATAAAGATTTCTTGTTGCTAACTCTATTATCAAAATTTCATTTTAATGAAAGAATAGGAATGAAATTCTGGTATGAAATCCTTAAACAAAATTTATACAATTAAAATATTATATAAAAAAAAAAATTTATGAATTTTTTATATAGGGAGTTTCTATAGTAATTTCGAATTAAGTTCTTTACGATATACTTTTCTTTCAAAGTGTTACAATTTTTTACATTATTTCACCTTCATATTTTAATATTATTATATTTTTTATACATACCAAATAAATATCACTATATAATACACTATGTAATGCAAATTTTATATAAATAAGCAGAGGTATGAAAACATTAAATCTTGTTTAATAAATATTTTAACTTCAAAATTGTTCCAAGCAAAAAGTTAATCAAATATTTATTATACTGTATCAACGGTATAATAGATTAGAAAAGATCAATCAATACGATTTGGAATCTATAAAAATTTTAAATTTTAAAAAATGTAGTAAATGGGTAGTTACAGAATCAATTTTAAGTACTTGTAACACTGATTCTAGAATTAAAACACAAAAAAAGAAAACCCCTTTCAGATTTAAATTACATTTTAAATACAAAATTTTTGATTAACTAAATTACAAAGACTTTAAATTAAAAATATATTTCCTTAAATTGACGACAACGTAAAATAATTAAAATTAAAAATTTAATTTATTTAAATTAACAATTTAATTTTTTTGAATTAAAAATTTTATTCATTAAGAACAGTGATAATATATGATTTATTAAATGGAGAAAAAGAGGATTCCCCTCAGGGCTTCAGATTTGGTAAGAAGCATATTTATGGGGAATTTAAATTGTTGCCTCGTATACATAATTGTATGAATAATAGCTGTTATACTTACATGTATATTATCTTTCAATAAGTTATACTTGTGTATTTAGGAAAAAATTAGAATTAGAATGTAACATGTTGCTTAGGATGTTATACATTTTTGTACAAAATTTATTTGTAAGAGGATGAAAAATAATGTTTTAAATTACATGGTAACACCCTATATAAAAATATATTAGGATATAATTTACATACTTATGATATAAATTAGGGTATAAAAAAGAACACAAAAAAATTTGTACTACATTTGTTTAAATTAATTTTTATACAAGTATAGGATGGATGTTATCACTTTTTCGTATTGACAAACAAAATATTTGACACAGATTTTCACATTTGATTACTTCTATGTTTTAATTACATTTACCGTTTATATTCGATCTTTTAATATAAGCAGTAAATGTAATTATGATTATTGCTGATAGAAAGCAATGTGGAGAATACAGTTTCTAAGATAATTTCTTTATATTTCTGCACTTTAGTTGGTATAAAGTTAGCTCACTGGTTGGATTCCAGTTTTAGGAGAAAAAGTTTTTCAAGTTTTTTGTCTATAAATTATTGCTTTTTCCAGACCACACATAAATTCTAAAACTGTATAAAAAAGAAATATTTGATTACTGTCATAATAAGAGTATTATTGATAATGAAATTCTCTGAAAACTTTTCTGTTAATTGAGATTGAAGACATTTTCGTTTGATTGAGATTGAAGACATATATAATTTCTTTGTATAGAAAAATTTATTAAAGATTTGGTTACTCGAATTCTCAATAAAGAAATTTGTACTGCTGAATTTATTCTATTCTAATAATGTTATAATTTTTTTTTTGATATTTTATAGATATATTTGTCAGTGATATATCCCATCCGAATTCCCATGAAAGCACATCAGATGGTAATTCTGATCATAATTCCTCTGGTGATGAGGATTCACAAATGCGGCTTAGACTTAAAAGAAAATTGCAACGAAATCGTACATCGTTTACAAATGAACAAATCGACAGTTTAGAAAAAGGTAAGAAAATTTAAAAAAAAAATCGGATTTTTGCAAAATTTACAAAAAAAAATCATTGCCTGGCTTAATAGTAGCCCATGTATTGTCAATTTTTGGATTTTTTGAAATAATTTCAATTCATTTCTTTGTATTTTTGTTAATAGAATTTGAGAGGACCCATTATCCAGATGTTTTTGCGAGGGAACGTTTAGCTGAAAAAATTGGTTTACCAGAGGCACGTATTCAGGTTTGTTATAAAGTTTTCCTCTCTGGGCAGTTGTGCTTATTTTTTATTTTATATTTTGTATTCCTTTACATGTTATGTATGATTTTGTTTTGTGTTTATTATTTATGTTTATCATTATTGTTTCTTAATTTTTTAGTTTTCAATTTAACAATTTTAAAGTTGAATTATATAAACAAAGCAAAAAAAATAAAGTTGAGTCAAACCAATGGTTTACATTGTAGCACTTTTCCCTTTAGCAAGTGAAAATACTGCTTTTAAAAACAATTTGTGCACTACATCATTAAAAATATGTACATAGTTTTATTTACATACGAAGTAATTCCAAAAATTGCATACGTTTTGGAAGACCAATGTATGCAATTTTTGAAATAAAACAAAAAAAAATTGAAAAAAACGTTAACATAAAATTTAAACAAGAACTTAAGGGATAATTGCGTGAGAAAAGAACAATAATTATATTTTTATTGGCATGATATTTACCGTTAGTTTTCTTTATTTATAGTCATTTGGAAAAGCTTGTAGTTTCGTAAATATAAGGTGCCAGATATTCAAATTTTAAAAGTTTCAAGAGGCATTAACTTGAGTACTAACGAAATAAACTGACTAACGAAATAAACTATTAATTAACCTATAAAAGATGCTAAAATCTCTGCCTTTTACAAACTGCGGTCTAAAATAAAAACGATATCAAAAATTTGGAAAAAAAAACGATTTTAAATAACGTTAAATTTTAACGGCCATTTTACATTTTTAAAGTTTAAATATAGATGCCGCGGTAGAAGAATCTAACCAGTACTTTTCTGCGTTTGCAAAATTTGAAAAATACTTATGGTTTTTCTTCAATAACTACATTTTTAGGGTTTTGAAGATCTATAACTTTTAGAGAAAGGAGACACGTAAAAATGTTCTTCTACGGAAATAAGTTTCTAGTAAAGATCTGTATACATATGAAATAACAGCTTTTAACATGTTTTGTAAACATGTCCCCGGATGGACGGACAGACAAACAGAGTGAAACTATTAAGCCCTGTTTTTCAAATATTTTTTGGAAAAATGTTAAAAAATAAATAAGAATGTTAAATAATTAGAGTAAATAATCTACCAATAGAATTAAAATGTCTGTTTAATCATGGACATTTTGCTATCATACTCTGTGTGTGCATCCTCATGCACTGGCTTTTGGCAATTGAATTATAGAACTAAACACCCTGAATAAAATTATATTCTCACAAAGCATTGATTTACTTGTTTAGTTGTTAAAATTTGACTTTATGTAACGGGTAATTTAGAAGTACTAAACTTTTGTATTAATACTGCAATTCCAATTTTAAAATATAAGAAAAGTTTTGACATGAAACGATTTTTATGATATTAATTATGACTTAGAAGAGTTAGATCCTAGTCTTTGTTCATCTCCTTAATTGTTAATGTCGTCCCTTAATTTGTAATGGGAGTCTTCTGGGAATCATCTTTTACTAAAGATTGCTCCACTGGTTGGTCTAGGATTATCCCGATTCCATCCTTTTTTTATTCTATTTTGGGCCGGTGTGCATGGATTTTAACGAATCAGTACTGCAGAAGGATGTGAAAGTGTTATTTCATAATCTCCGCAGAAAGTCATCAATTCTTAATTGGAGAACTGGGTCCTTCCGGCCGTCCCACTGTTACAGCAACTTCCAAACGCAAATGTTTTTAAGCTTGGAAGATCGTCAATGTTTTGCTCTATTCTAAGAACCCGCTTCTGGAAGTGAAGTCGATGATTAGGCGGGCTTTGGGGACGTCTTCTTCCTTCTTTGCCATGAGGTTCGGCCTGCTCTATGTATCCAGAACGGGCCTTGGTTTGATTATCAACTCTACTGCCTCTTTATATGTACAATCGATGAACATTATAACAGTTCTTGACTGGGATTATTTGTCGATTAGCACCTCTTACAGCTGGGTCAGCATTATAGAGGGCTACTTCGATAAAAGTATCAATTATAACCTATTTTTTGGCCGCGGCAAAACTAGTGTTTTAATTTTTTTCTTGGCTGCTACATAACTAGTTACAAGCTCTGTCGTCGGAGAGTGAAGAGAATGAAAGATATTCCTTCACGCAGCCATTTTTCTCTTGGTAGTAAAAAATTGATTTAAACTGTTCTCATTAAAGTTTTATCATAATTATTGCCTACACTCAGGATGAGCACGAAATTAAATGAAATATTAATAATATAATGTCGAAATTGAACGAGCAATTCTTAACACATTTTCTTTTAACTAATTTATTTAAACTTAACTAACCCAAATTTAATATATTATACCAGTTAAGATAAAATGTAATTTATATTTTTTGACGGTAAAAGATTTACCAGTATAACAGGTTGTTGCTTTTATTGTAGATATTTGGAAAAGCTAAAAATGTTGTCTTCTCCTGACCGAAACATATTATACATAAAAAATAAATTTATATATGATTCCTTTTATGTTATACAATAAATTCGAAATTGTAGGTATAATAATGTTGAAATTGTTGCAACTAAAAAACTTTTGTATGCTTCTATGCAAAATTTTGATATTCACCACATTTTTGATTCGACTTTAACATTTTTTTACCTCTATAGCAATATTTTCAATTAAAAAAAAAATACTTGTTTGAATGAACACAAAAGTTTCTTACATATACAATTTCTTCATTAGCTGTTTTATATAAAAATGTCAGTCAGCTGTATTGAATATTGTATCTAATTTTATTTATAACCCACCGTAGTTTGACAGCAGTTTTTTACATTTTAGTGAAGACTATAAGTATTCTTATTTTTCTATGTAAAACAAAAATATTTAAACATCCATTCAATTTTCATACAAGTTTTAGGATAAACTCTTTTTATTATGTGTTCATCATATATGTAGTTCTTTAGATAACAGAAAAAAACAAAATCCCAATATATGTATATACATACATGTTATACAGCGTGTTTCATGCAGTGGTGCATTGTCATACATACCCAGGGTGTAGGTTTTAATGTGTGAGGAAATGAAGTGTTCCGCAACAGACCTTTCTCGGAATCGATTTAACTTTATCGAAAATAAACTATAACTTTGACTGTGCTATTTGTAGACATTCGCTGTAAAAGTGATAACCAGCAAACACACAATTAACTCGAAGCACTTTTAGTTCCGATACCACAATCGTTTAAAAATCAATTTTTGGTATTTTGTTTTTTTTTTTAATAAAGGTTTTTTTCAAGGTGATAAAATATTGCAGCTTTTCGAATTTGTTTCCCTGAAAATAGATTGCCCATTTTTCAAGATTTCTGTTAAAATTGCAACCATAGTCGCAACCCTCCTATAGTTACTGAAAAATTACTTTTCGATTGTTGCAAAATCTTCATAAGAAATTTACTTATTTGCCGACAATATTGCATAACATTTAATTTTTGTAAGATTTTTACAAAAAGCACACTGTAAATTTCTTTATGTATATATATTTATATATACATATATTATGTATATACATACATATGCACAGATATAAAGTATCAATAGTACAAATTTATTATTTTTTTTGTTATCTCGTACACTTCATTTATATTCTAAATCGCAAATATTTAATATTGGTATTTACAACATATTCGATGACATGAATGATATCCAACGCGCGTTTATAATACAAAAAGAAAGGAAAAGAAAAGAAAAACAAACAAAAAGAAACACTTGTTTCTTTTTCCACGGTGTCAAACCACATTTATGTATTTATATATATATACAGGGTGATTCATAAAGGTGTACAACAACATGTACCATTGGTTAGAGTGAAAAATTCGTAAAATTTTGTTCAAGTTTTTCTCCTATTTCAAAAATAGGAGCTTCAAAAAAACAGTTTTTAAAAGGCCTAGTAAAAAATAGGCTAAAAATAAATAAACTATTTGATTTTTTTCTTCATGTGCTTCCGGAATACCAAGCATTCAAACTTTAGGAAAAATGAAATTGTTCGCTTTTTATACCCTGCAACTTCGTGAAGTGTATATTCACTATGATATGGAGTTTGCAACCGGTATGGACATGTATACATATTCTTGGTCAGCGTAAAATTCTGAGTTGATTTAGCAACGTCTGTCCGTCCGTTTGCACGATAACTCAAAAACGAATAATTCAGTCGGCCAAATTTTCACAAGTTTTTTCTTTTTTGCCAACGACGGACAACATGTTCGGGTAGTTGCCATACAACTCCAAAAGCTAATTTTAAATATTTGAAAAAATAATAAAGCTAGATTTATAAAACTTGGCAGTATTGTGTCCACTTACAAATCAGAAATAATATCTGGAAAGTCTCTAAAGTGTGGTTTAACAGGTTCTAGCAATTGCCATTTAACAATGAAAGCTAATTATAGATATTTCAAAAACTAATTGTAAACTCAGATTGCCAAGATGCAGAGAAAAATTCGGTCGGTTTATACCCACTGAAACGTTTTCACTGACTGAAACGTTTATACCGACTGAAACGTTGTTTAATAACGGTTCTTAAAAATATCAACTGCTTTTTAGAGAGATTATTGTGATTTAAAATGAATAATTGTTTATAATTACAGCATTTAAAATCAATAAAAATTAAAAATTGTGGCAAATTTTTGAATTCGTGTGAAATTATTGGGTTAGAAAAAACTAAAAAAAAAACAAAAAACCGAAAAAACTAGTTTTTTTTTTTAAAGTTCGACTTCTTGGTATTTCGAAAGTACATAAAATAAAAAGTTATTTTGAAGCCTAATACTAGCCCTTTCAGAAACTGTTTGTTTGAAGCTTCTATATATTTCGAAAGGGAAGTTATAAGCAAAAAACTTCAACAACTAGAAATTTCGTTAAATTTCCTGTAACTCGGAAACGCTTGAGATTTGGCACCTAGTTCCGAACAGAAGTTTTACTCATTTTAACCAATGGTATATGTTGTTGCGTATCTTTCTGAATCACCTTGTATATGTACGTATATAAAACTGAAAATAAAATCCCATATGATTTTGAAATTT